GGGGCAGTACCCAAGGTATATAGGGTGTGAGTTTATCTGTATTTATGTGGATATATAGGTATAGATATAAAATATAAATGTTTGCATCTAGAAAGGAGTTTGTATATAACACACAAACAGTCATTCATGTATATATGTAGATATGTAGAGGATACATACATACATACATACATGACTGTGTATATGTGCATTGAGATGTATGTGTGGTGCACATATATATATATTTTTTTCGAGGGTGTAGATATGTAGTACATGCCTACACATAAGCCCGCCCCGCAACTGTTGACCTTGCATGTCAGGAGGCTCCACCGGGCGGAGCGCATCCAGGATTTGCTGCACATCCGGGGTTCCCTGGACTGCCAGCCTGACTGGTGGTCAGTAGAGAATAAGGGAATATGCTCCCTATGTAATCCCTACATGATCCCTGCATAACCCCACATAATCCTTTCCAATCCTGATGCAACCCCTATATACTTAATCCCAAAATAACCCTACATAATCCCTACATGATCCTATATATTTCCCTGTATAACATATTCCCTTATTCCCTACCAGCTGCCAGTAAGGCGCCGGTCTCGGCAGAACTCTGCCGACCGGTGAAGACGCTGCAGCGCGCGATGCAGCGCCTCCCGCTCCTCGGTCTCCTGTCATGAACATGTCAACAATAGTATTAACAATAGGGTATAATAACAGGAGTAATTTAGGTACCGCCCCCACTCATTAACAGTTGGATAGTATTTGTAGTATAACTAAATAGGCGGCAGGACCCAAGCAGCAATGACAATGGTAAAAATGGCAATAACAGCAATAATGATAAAATCAATGCTAATAATTGTAATGATAGTCGTCTTAAAAATGGTAATAGTGGTAATGCTCATAATAATCATAATGATAGAAACAAACATAATAGCAGTAGGAAGAATAATCATAATAATAACCATATTTTACGTGCTACTGCCTGGGACAGGCGGCGCCGCAGCTGGGCCTCATCCTCGCCCCGAAACATGGCATGGCCCCAACGGTTCAGATTTCCTTTGATGTCTTTCGTGAGGGTACGTCTCTCATTTGAGCCACAGTCTAAACTCCTAGTATCCCCCTTAACAACCCCTAGTGCAGGGTTTAAGGTTTAGGGTTTAGAGTTTAGAGTCTAAACTTCTAGTATCCCCCCTAAATATCCCCTCTAATAGTCCCTCACATAATCCTCTATAAACCCTCTAAGAAGTTTAGACTATAGCTCATTGTTGCATAGGATAGCAGGCCTCAGGCCTGAAATGGCTAGATACCTTCAAACTTCAAACCTCTCATCTCTATTGCTATTACTATTATTAGTACTATTCTCAGGAGTAGTATTACTACTATTATTGCCATTAGTATACGGGCTGCTTGGACCTAGGGTGTAGGCCGCGCATTTGGGGTTTAGGGCTTAGGGCTTAGGGCCCACTCGCCTCCTAGAGGCTGGGTTGGGGTTTGGGGTGTGCAGCTGGACAGAACAAAAACTTGCTGTTTGTGATTGCGGGTCCAGGAGTAAGCGTGGCAGATGGAGGCATAACTTGAAAGCAAGGCTTTGAGCCAAGATGATTGCCAGTCCCCCTTAAGTAGATAGGATATGGGGTTTAGGGAGTTTAGGGTATAGGGTTTAGGGAGAATATGGGGTTTAGGGTTTGTGCTTTTCTCTTGGGAGTTCCTATAATTAACAAGGATCATTGTTTTTTAATGGTTTATAATGGGTACCAGAATATTGTAACTCCCACATCCGTACCCAGAGCCCCTAAAGGATCCAAAAAATGGAACCTCCCAATAACCCCCTAGTTTCCCCAATGTAGTAATCGGGGGCCATTTTGGGGGGCTTCATTTTTTGGATCCTTAAGGGGTCTGGGTAGACCAAGCATTTGACACAGCTGCACTCCACACAGCGAGCACCCCACCGCGAGACTGCTTTGAAGATACCTGGCTAGCTCGGGACTCCGGCTCCCTACAAATCATTTAAGGGCTATAGGATTATAGGGCTTAGGGTGCAGGGTCTAGGGTTTAAGGGTTTAGGGTTTAGGGCAGAAGGTATAGGATTCTAATAGAGGGAATCACAAGGATTCTGGTTGCCCTAACACCTATCGTTAGGGTCCCTTGGCAGTCACATGAGAGGGTCATTGTCGGCTGTGGTAAAAGAAATCCTCTTCTGACAAACGTGATGCAGGGAGGACCGCTAATCTCGTTAAATGCTGGACGTCATGGATAAACAAGACTGGGCAGCTAAGATTTCACGTGCCGTGAACCCGGTAAGCTTTCTGGCCTGACGGCGCAAGGATCGAGATCGAGATCTGCGTCGCTTGAGGGGAATTGAACCTCTCAAAATAGAAAGCTCTCTCTCTGGAGCCCTTGCGATATGCAAGTTGCAAAGGCTGCTTGCCAAGAGCTTCAAGGAGCCATGGATAATCCCTATATAACCCCAGTACATACCCTATTATAACGCATTATTACTTTCCATTTTCTTTTCCAGTATCGCTATACAACCTCAATATATACCCTATTATCATGAAATAGTTTCCATGTTCTTTTCCATTATCCCTATGAAACTCCAGTATATACCCTACAATCCCTATAGTTCCACGGCTGAACCAACAGGCTGCCATAAGCTCTCGGCGCTCACGCTCTGGACGGTGTTCATCGCGACGCGTAAGCACTCGGTATGGGTAATTGACCTGAGGAAGAAAGCCCGTACAACTTGTCAAGGGCTTCAAGGCGCCATGGATAATCCCCATATAATCCCAACATATACCCTATTATGATGTATTACTTTCCATGTCCTTTTCCATTATCACTGTGGTTGCAGCATGGTTGACGGCCCTGCAAACTTTCAGCCTCACTTTTCTGCTCTGGCACTCTGTGTTGCGCGTGTGGTCACATGGGCTATAGTCTAAAACCGCTGCATCTCCCTTAGTAGCCCCTACAATACTCCCCGATAAAACATCTTTAAGGAGTTTACACCCTAATCCCTAGACCCCAAACTCTCAACCCTAAACGCAGTAGAAGCCCGTAAATAATCTCCCGTATAACCCCCTCTAAGGAGTGTAGACTGCATCACCCATGGCCATGAAACTCTACGCTGGCTCTTGGCGCTGCCGTGGCTGAGTACGGACCCATCTCAGGATGCGAGCACGAAGTTCAGGCAGACGCACACAGTCTTCCAGGAGCAAGACCTCCACAGACAGGTTGCGATTATGACTGCTACTATTTTTATGAATACTATGAATACTATTGTTCTGATTACCATTCTTACACTTGCTACTACTATTACTATCACTATCACTACAGTTACTACTACCATGATCAAAGGATATTAAGAGGCACCACATCGGCAAGGAGCCATGCGCGTGACATGCTTGCATCTCCCTGGAGACCAAGCGGCACACACGCCAATTTCTGGGTTGCCGTTAGGGAACTTAAGATAAGTTACCATAATGGGTATACATAGTAATTGATATATGGTTTCCCCAATATAGTAACTTAAATTAAGTTCCCTAACAAGAACCCAATTTTTCACACAGCGCTGCCTGGCCCTGCACTGGCAATCCCCAACTCGAAAGCCAGTGCTATCCCAGCCCCAAGCCATGCGATGAAGGCGGAACTAACATTAAGATTAGGTGGACCCCCATAATAGTGTCTATAAAGGATAATAATGATTATATTAGGGTCCTCCTAAGTTCCTATTAATAATACAGGGTGGGGGGTCCTCCTAACATGAAGATCTAAAGGCCCAGGCTTCTTTCAAAGTCAGGCCGGCCCTAAAAGTCTTTACATCTTGGGTTCCTCGCATTCCTGACAACCGAGGTCCTCATGGCTTCAAATCATATCAGCCGCAACCTTTGGAACAAAATCACTTTGCAATTTTTGATTGCCATAAAGATTGTGTAGAGGTGGACACCACTTGACTAGGTTCTCGGCATTCCTGCTTCCTTGCATTTCAGACGGCCACTCACACCGCTCGTAACTTCTTGGCTTTCTTGGCGGACTGCGCAGCCAGAGCTGCACTCACCGCTCCCCCGGTGAGGCTGCGTTTCTCACTGCCTCAGCTTTCACAAGATTGGCTCCCTCAGCCTGTTCGCCTGGCACAGGAAAATCGAAATTGCAGTGGAAGGCCACCACCCTTCAACCCCAACGACTAATCCCCTCCCCGCAATTCTAAGCCCCACCCATCGCTGTACAGCTATGTATTAGGCTGAGTATTCATTATTAAGTGGGGCGCAGAGGTTAGAATCAGGTGTAGTTGATTTTTCAACCCTAAACCCTACCCTTTTTTTACAACTGGACTTGCTGAGTGCCAGACCCTAAACCCTAAACCCTAGTCCCTAAACCCTAGTCCCTAAACCCTCAACCCATGTTTCTGCCCAGCAGCCCGGGCTTGGTGTCTGCGGGGAGGGTCCACTGCCTAGATCGGGGGTTTAGGGCTTAAAGGGTATATAGGGCTTGTGGGCCTTTAGGGTTTATCAGGTTTAGTGTTTTGGGATTTTGGGTTTTAGGGTTTATGGGGTTTAGACACGCGCATCACTATGGGGTTTAGGGATTTAGGGTTTGGTGGCTGGACGCAAGAAAAGGGTGTGGTGTTTTGGGGTTTAGAAATGTACAACCCCCAATCAGCGAGAATCAAAGGCAAAAGAAAAAAGAAAATGAAATGGAGGCTGGGTGTATAGGGTGGTCTATAACATTAATAGGGACATGAAGGTTTCCCAAAACAAGAGGTGCCTTTTTTGGGGGGGGGTCCCTACAATAAGGATTATAATAACTCGGGGTCTATATTGGGGTCACCCTATTTTTTCTGGAGGCTACCACATGTCAATGCCATGCCCCGGGCAAGAAGTAGGGTCAGCCAGTTCTCCGGCCAAGCGCAGGAAAGTACTCTGAGGCAGGCAGCATTCTTACTGGTAAGATCCCCATTTATATACACAGATATACATCCATCTATCAATCTTTTCCCCCTATTCCCTACTAACCACCAGGAAGTAGTCCTGCAAAGAATCCTGACTGTTGTCAAGGCATCCCCGAAATTAGTCATGATGCGCTTCAAGAGGCTGGGCCGGCGCTGCGGTGTTGTGAGGACCTATGAAGAGGCGCTGTTAGCTGTAGTAGGGGTTATATTGGGATGTAGGGGTTATGTTGGGATAATGGAAAGGAAGATGGAAACTACTATGTAATAATAGGGAATATATTGGGGTTATGCATACCCAAGCACCAAAAAGTCGTGGCGTAAGAGAGCAAACCTTGGGCCTTCCTCGACCCAATAACACTTTTTATCATTGCATTATGAATATTATCCCACTGTTCTTGAGAGGAGCAGCACCCAAGCAGAACCCATCTCAACACTACAAGTCTGCCTTCAGAGTTAAGGGGGCTCAGGACCAATTTGGTTGACTCTAGCAGCAGGAATCTACAAACGTGCCTCATGCACTTCATGAGCAGGGCAACTCACTTGGTGTGGGGGAGGTTGAATGGCATCATGCAACCTGAAGTTGAGCTCCTGGCCCCTTGCACGGGGCTGGAACTTTCTGGGGCGCCAGTTGCCTTCAGGGCTTGGAGACCACTGAGGAGGCGCAAGCACACAAGTCAGGGTTAAGGGGTCTTGAACACATCTGCTTTGACCTTTGCTGGTGAAGAAACGGATGATGCTTCGCAATCTTCAAGTGCTGGAGTCTCCGCCATCGGGATCTCCTCCTTTCCGCTGTCAGCTTCAAGGTAGGGCGGTAGGCTTTGCAGGTTCAATACAGTCTAGAGAGATCACCTCAACAATAGAGAATCAAATGAAAAAGAAAATGAAAAATGACATGGAAGCTGGGAATATAGACTGGCTAGAAGGTACAGATGTGCAAGTGAGTCCTGCTCCTGACGACTATCCTTCAATGCCGCGTTCAGGCGCTGCTCAACCGAAGGGTCAATGGCAAACAGCTGCGCGGGCATCCCGCCAGAAGCCTTGGCTGACGTCCAACTATCATCCGAAGGGTTCTCAGAAAATTCTCGGTTTCCAAGGGGGGAAGGGGGGGTGGGTGGAGCGGGGGGGGCGGGGGGGGGGG